GAGCAGAGCATGGAGGGGGGAAAACCACAGCGCTGTGTCAATGAGCGCTCTCATGTTTGATCTGTCTCTGCTCTCCTGGAGCACCCCTGTCCCAACAGAATCAGGAGAGGGGCAGGGGAGAAGAATCTCAAATTCAAGCTTTCCCTGTTTGGCCAGGGGCAGTCTGGAGAGCACTCGCTGGCACTGGCTCTGCCCCAAAGGGAGTGGGGCAAGCACCTAGACGAGCAGAGACGACAGCGTAGCATCTGCTCTGTTTTCCTCTCCTCCCTTGGGATAGGGAGCAGAGCCAGCTTGTGGCAGTGCTGGCCTGAGAGCACCCTGCTACATACAGCTGTGGCAATTCTGAAGTGCTTTACCAGAAGGTGTGGCAAGGGGCCACAAATCTACCTGCAGGTGGAACACTCTGGGGTTTTTAAGTGTCTCTCAGCACAGCTGCATTGTAAAGGGTTTCAAACGTCCCATCTGTCTCTACCCTTTGGAAGGCACTGTCCTGTAAAAAAGCTTAACTGGGAGCTATTACATGTTAACTACAGGTGGTACCATCAGACCCCAGGATCCCCTAAATATTAACTTGCACTAACAATGAGCCAACTTGTTACAAACTAAAACAAGTAACAATGACGGAGAACAACTAGGGCTTTTTTGTTCGTTTGTTTAAAAAAAAATAATCATATTTTCCAGTTTATGTCCATGATCTTGCTCTATTTCTGTTTACATTTTGGTGCCTACCTCCAGTTAATGTTACTGGCTGGTCTCTTACCATTTTATATTAGACAGACTTCAAAAAAGAAAAATAGCTGCTGGGTGTAATTTTGCACCATTGTGGCATTAAATGTGTATACCTGACCGATCAGAACAGGCTCTCAGAAAAAAATATTTAAATATAAATTAGGATCCTAGTAACATTTCCTATGTTTGAATATTCCTTGCTTATTAAGGCCTTAAGACATTACCAGAGCATTAGTTCAGATTAGGATATTAAGGTACTAGACATTACTTTAAAAAATAAAATCAAGAAATGACCCTTGTGTTAAGAGTTTAGGAACAAAATATAATAAAAAGGTGAACTGAGATGTAAGATAGGGGAGGGGCACACACTTCAACTGCAGTCTAACAACTAAAAGCGTAAGCAGTGCTGAATATTCAAACTAGACTAAAATGTTTCTGCACCTGTACCTATATTTTCCCTTTGAGATCATAATTGACAAGTTTTTTAAATATTGTTTGTATCAGAATACAAGTGCAGCTTCATAGCTGGAAGTCCTCAGCATTACATACTGCACAAAGGGAATCTCAGTGTCGGAGAGCTTATAAACAATATCTTCCTTTATCTCTGTTTAGTGTTTATACAGATTTGATCATTTACCTGTTTTTATCTTCTGCTGTAGTAGAAACAATGGAATGAAGAGGAGACACTAATGGCTTGGAAAGAAGAGGTGCAAGAGCATGGGATGGGGAACAGAAGGGAGCTAAGGAAGAATAGACAGCCGAGTCCAGGAGGCATGGTGAGAGAGAAAAAAAATATATATAATCAGACCTAGGAGTCCACTGAGACTCGAGGAACTCAAGGTTCTGATGTGTCAAATTATAATTTGACCAATTTCCAGTGAATTTTCACAGAAATGACAGAAGGCACCCCTGATAAGGGGGGCAGCTCTCCTGCCAAAACGTATTTTCCCCTCATTCTGTGAACGGTTTAGCTTAGTTTCATAATGTTTAAAGCAAGAGGGGGTACCCCCTATTAAACTGTATCCAAATATCCAACATCAAAAGTCTTGAGTTTTGAGAATTTCAAGTCCTGCCTACGTAGAAAAGATTGAAAATAGAGACCAAGATGCCAACAATGCTTAGAGCTTCTGCCATGGCAGAAAAGCTATTAGGCAAGAGATGCTGAAAGGATCTCAGGCAGGTAATTTATGTGCCATCCTGCACAGAAGGGACAAAACCCACAGTATAATTTAGAGGAAATATGTCCTCCTAACTCCAAATACATCAACTGGTGTAACCTTCAGCCCAGGGGCAGGACACAAACACACCAGGCATCTGAGAGGGGGATTCTCTATGCCACCTCAAAATGCTGGCACATGCAATCTCCAGCAAAAATGTACGTTATAGTGGAATGTATTTATAAAAAAAAAAAAAAATTAAATAGAGGGGGTACCACCAGACCCATTTATTCAATGTACAACTCAATCACAAATTTGATAAACTCCACAGAAACAGACTTGAAAGGGATGTCCTGAGTCACTGCTTATAAACGTAAGCTCCCTCTTGAAACTAGTTTCAACTATCATGCACGCACACATACACAGGCTTTTTACTGTGTTACATTCAGGGAATGCAACCATATTATGCTAGGTTAAGCAAACCACTGTCTTCCATATGATGGGCTCTCTATTCCCGAGATCATCCTAGTGGCCTTTCTCTGCACGTGTCCACCTGTTCCAGCCTGAATCTATCTTTTTTTGAATGGGGGTAACCACAACTATACATGGTAATCCAGAAGTGGTCTCACCAGTGCCTTGTGATACCCCTCTTGCTGTACCCAAGGATCATATTTGCGTTTTTCATCATATACCTAGCAGCTCATACATCTGTGTCCTTCTGCCTCCAACTGATGAGCTCAATGACATTAGCCTAACAGAGATGTAATCTGCATTTTTATTTTCAGAACAAGTGGCAATACTGCTTAGCAACATTTTCTGTACCAGGCTTGAACAAAATATATGGCATAATAGTGCCATAATGTTTTAATTTAAATTTTAATTCTTACCAAGATCCCACATCTAAATTAAGAATAAACCGCTGGCTATGAATGCATGGCTAGAAAGTATTTAAGAAACATCAATTAAATTAAAAAAAAAGTCTTAAATCCATTGAGAAGGTACCTGCAGCTGTGTAAGTCTTGGCTTCTATTACAGATGAACTACAGAACTAGGACCAAAAAAGCTAAAATCAGCACCGTCAATCTAAAATATACATAAAGCAGGTACCTCTGGATGAAGCCAGAAAAGTACATGCAGCAATGACGTGACAAACTGCTGTTAAGAGACGAACAGTGCAACTGGCAGTTTGGTAAGCTGTCAAAGCACTCAACTGTTAAAAGGAAAACTGACACAAATAATTTTAAAAAAATCTGTCAATTACTAATATATTAGAATATTAACATTAAAAGAGGCTTCAAAATCTAAGTTACTTTCAACACGGGCTCAGTTTTCACATTTCATTAAACTCGGACAGGGCAAGGACCTGATCAGCTTCAGCTTGTTTTCATGCATTAGAACACAGTGCTCCAAATACTGCAGAGAAATTTTTAAATCTAAAATACATGTTTCTACACTTTGAACACCCTCCTCTTGTTAAAGCTACTCTAAGCTTGAGGTTCCTTTCTTTTAAGCCCAAGCGGACATTGAAATGTTTCTTTTTACATGATGAGGACCTGAAAAATAACATGGAGTATTGAGTTAATAAAAAGAATGTTGCAGCTATTTGAGAGCGCAATCTTGTATTTGATTTCAGAATTGGGAGCTATTTTTGTCTTGCCTGTTATGTACCCAAGTTGTGTGTGTTACAGTAATACCCTAGTCATCACTGCTAGAAAGTGATCACCTAATTCTGATCTTCAGCTGGAAATAAGCAGCAGGCACAACTTCAGAAATCAGACTAGAAGAGTAGAATGGCATCCAAAGAAGGCCCACAGGGGTTAAAGTCGCAATGAGTTTGGAAGATTATCCGTACCAGGGCTGCCTTTAAAAAAAAACCCCAAATTCTATCACAAAAGTATCTGCAGTGTAATTTTAGCAACCTCTGCGCCATAGGAACAGTAGAGCTGCAGCAGTTTTGAGGCCAGATAAATCAGGAGAGGTTAGTGACAGCCACCAAGTCAGAAACTGAACCAGAGACCTCCAAAAGGGAAAGCATTAGCCTCAAGAGCTGAAGCTAAAAAGTCAGGTTCTTAGGCTGAGGCTGCAACAGAACTGCATCTTTTGTGGAAGGACACCATACACTAGCTATTGAGTTACATTAAGATTAACACCATGCATGCAAACACTTTCCCATTGAATGCTGGGTCGAATCTTACTCCTTCAAAACTATGGAGTGCATATCGATTTCACTTAAACACACTAGAAATTAAAATACTAATCAAGGAACAGTCCGTGTCAAAATGAGCAGTACACAATTTTAAATACTGAGTTAGGTTTCTAGACAGGTGTATCAATACAAAAATAAGTGTGTTGGCCTACAAACTCACACAGTAGTCCTTGGTTATCATGACACAAATCTCATTGGCTTCAGTATCACTGCCAACACAAAGGGAACCCACCCTAAAACTGAATCAGGTTTCAGATTTTACAGTTTCTTTAGAAATCTCTCAGTGACATGATTCCTACCTTCTTTTGGCAGAATAGCGACCACAGGAGAATGGTCAACCATTGTATACCACTCTCTATCCACGTACTGGTCAAGCTCTATAAGCCTTTTGGAGGAAGACTGTGCCATTCCATGGTCACTTGTGATTATGATATTCACTGTGTCCCATAACTTTGCTTTCTTTAGTTCCGACACAAGATGTCCCAGCTTGGCATCAGTCTCGTTAATGACTACTCGCATAAGTGGATTTTCCGGGCCCAATATATGCCCCATTTCGTCAGGCTGCTCCCAATACAAGAGACCAAAGTTGATGGGGTTTTCAGATGTAAACCAATCAATAAGATGGGAAACTCGATCTTCAAATGAAACAGACTCATTGTAAATCATATAATGTGTAGGAAGGACTCCATGTATTCTTACATCCGTTCCTGGCCACATAGCAGCTCCACTTCTGTGTCCCTCCATCTGGTTTGTGACCCATATTGGACAGGCCTCTTCCCAGAACTGTGCATGATAAATGTCCATGTGGTTCATAGAGAATGTTCTGTTCAGGATAGGATCATACATTTCATTAGCAACTATGCCATGGCTCTCTGCATAAAGGCCAGTCACCATTGTATAATGATTAGGATAGGTTTTTGTAATGAACACATTAGTGACCCGTTTCACATGAACACCATTTTTCATGACATAATGGAAGTGGGGAGCTGGCACTCTATTGATGTAATCCCATCGAAATCCATCAAAAGATACCAGTAATACTCTGGGTTGTTCCTCCTGGAGAGAAAAAGTGCTGGGAAAAGTCAGCATACAAACTGCCCAGAATCTCCAGCAGCAATTTACAGCCATCCTAGAAGTCATATTTCCCTCAGCAGGTCATATTTCCCTTAGCAGGAAAAGGTGGTATCTGTGGATTACAAAGGTAAAGTTAAATTATCTCAAACATTTGCTTTTATTATACATATAAGAAAATCTAAAACAAGTTTTATTTACAGGCTTGGTTATAGACGCAAATGGCTGATATCCCCATAGCAACTTGAACACTCAAAACACTAGTGGACTTTATCCTCATTCCAGTGCATAACTATGTAGTCCATATTAGTTTATAACCGCAGGATTTAAAAAAACCTGTGCACTTACTGGAACCCACCATAAACAATGAGTATCTAGTGCGCATGAACAGCACTGTGTATTAGCATCCCTGACCAGGTCCCCGTCAGGTTCAAGGCTTTTAAGAACACCTGATTCCCCTTCCCTGCTTCCAGAACAGTTAAGTAACCAGACCAGAGATCACTAACCCTGCTAGTTTGAAATCAGGCAGAAGGCAGGGCAGTGGCACTGGATAATCTTATCTTATTACCTGGGCTAGCTTTTTTAGCCCCTTTGGCCACGAATTTTTACTGCTTTGTTACCACCTTTGCCTCCCAGGAGTGCCCCCACTCTGCACCTCCTGCCTACCCTTATCCTTTGTATTTAAATTGCTCCTTTTTCAGTTTGAATCCCTGCTCTCTGCAGATCCATTCACAGCATCTGAGTTTGTACTGTGCTACTTACAAAAGCGTATGCCTTATTTTATAAAGGTGCCATGCTGCCCTGACAGTTAAATAAACCGCAGATTAACTGTAACTGTTCACAGGGGTACTATCAAGTGAAAAATTAGACAGCAGGACAGAAAGATGGTAAGCACTTAAATGGTTCATGTCCTTAACTGATATGCAGATACCTATATGCGTATTATAATGAGCAACAGACAACATATTGGAACTAGTATTGTGTTATACAAGTAAAGGGATTATGCACGTCTCTGCTCCACACTAGTGGAACATGCTAGTTCCCAGCTTTGCAAGGGTTAGAAAGCATGTTACAGATGAAGAACTAAGACACGAGCAAGTTAGGAAGTCTTTTGACTTGTCATGGTATACGGGGAGTGTAGAAGTCACTGCCTTAACCAAAAAACCCACATGAACTACTTGCTCTTCCTTTTCACCCCAACATATTTGCTAGCATTTCAGGACTGAAAGTCTCTCTCACTTCTTTCATAAAAAAAATGTTTTCACTTCTCGCTTCAAACTGTTTTGTTTGAAAACTAACAGAACAGCTAAACTTTAGCTATCTATTTTTTCCAACACTAAAATATTGTATATGCTCAAGGAATTTATAATGGATAAAGCGATAAATTGAGTGTAAAGCCTGATTCTTTTAATGCTAAAATAGAAGCTGGAAAATAAAGCTAATTTAAAGTGACATGTTGAACATAAAGCCTAATTTAAATTAGCTTCTTTTTCCAGCTTCTATTTTAGCATTAATAAATCAATCAATCAATCAGATGCTGTTACAGGTAGGTTAGTTTATATATAAACTGAATGCATACACGCAAATATATTTTGTAGTCTCTTCCTAGAAAATCTCCACCCACACACCAATGAAAAAGCATACCTTGTTTTTACCATGGCTTAAAGAACTATATTTTAAATGTGGCAAACATAACTATTTGTAAGATATTTCTACTACTACTGATTTAAGCCTGACAAAAATGGTTCAATTGTTCCCCACTAGCCCCAAAAATATACCTTAACCCTAAACTAGATGGACCTTCTTTAGGAGCAAGGACTCCAGTACTCCATACTGTTCAGGTCTCAGTTTTGTTGCTACCAAGGGTGACAAGTCTGTAATGGCTTTGAAATGCAAATGTTTCTGGGAACTGAAGTAACCCCACACTAATACTCAAAACAATTAGAACTGTACCATCAGTTTTAAGCTACTGTCAATCTAGCACACAATAAAACTAGAAATTTAGATCTGAAATAATCTCTATTATACAATCCACATAATAATCATGTTACATTTCTCCTGAGTTATAAAGGCAGCAGAAAGTCAAAAGGTTGTTTGGTATCTCAGACCACAGCTGCATTTCCTATCCAATGCTATTAAGCTTAATAGTGTCTAAAGTTATTTGTTCTTTCCATAAAAATACCACTGAACCTAGATACAAGAAGCCTGAAATTAAAAAAAAAAAATTGCTAAAAAACTCAGTGTAACCATAAATAATTTGACCACTACAAAATACAAAGAGAGATCCATGAACTGTTGCAGCCAAAAATGTTTTTCTTTCTGGATACATTTGAGAAAAAGTTCTTGGTCTAATCAGTTGACTCATCATGAAAAATAACCAGGCTTACAGGAGCCCTAAAGTCAGTTCCAATTATAATTATATATGGATAACTGCAGGTGCAGAACTCATGCGAAATTAAATAATTCTCTCGCAATTCATCAAGAGTTATTTTTATCTCTCACATGCTCGAAATCAAGATTTAAAAGTCCAAATTCCGGAAAGGGGTAGATTCCTTGGAAAATCCTGGATGCAAATCTGAGGGCACCAATGCAAAGAAAGTGCTCATTTGCCCTGCCACATTGGATAGTTTGTCTATTTGCTACACGGCTTAATGTGTGCTGGCACCAGGGACGTTTCCTCATTCTAGCATTTTTTTAAGCCAGCTTTTCTGGCAGAACAGACAGGCCTGCTTCTAACAATCAGAGAGATGTATCCTGCAAAATTCCCTCTGCAATAATGGATACATCATGTAGAGAATGAATGATTCTTTTGGAATCAACAGTAAAACACACTTTTATTGAAACCAATACTAATCCTACTGGAAACATTACGCAGACCACAGTGACCTACTGGCTAATGTAAAACATCTCATCATACCTGCTGAAAGTCACTTACATAAAAACATTTACCAACTAAAAAAAATAAATAAAAAATGAAAAAGTCCTACTGTATTTACCCTGGTTCAAAATGAGCTTTTTTCCCTCCAGCCCCCATTCAACATGGGGAAAACAATACCTCATTTCCAATTTGAGTATGGGACCACTCCAGCCCAGTGCTGTATGGAGTAGTGGTGTCCCCAGCTGATCTGGGGAGCCCAGGTCAGGCAGGAGACAGCAGTGGGCACAAAGGCTCCTCCTTCCAGCACCTGCTCCCAGCCAGCAAGGAAGATAGGATTGGGAGGGGAAGGGCCAAATATCCCATCTTAAAATGCTATGTTTTCATCACATTTCCTGCCCTGAATGTGTTAACTTTATTTCAAACAGGGTTATTTAATTGGTGGTCTGCTGCTTCTGCTGCCATGTCAAGGAAAACAGCCCAAGGCCCTGTACACTGCCTGCGCCACCTGTGCACAGGAGAGGCTGCATGTCCCAAGCATAGCACCCACAGCAGGGAATGATCCAGAGGAACCATGAGTTGCCTCCGCCTGGACAAAAGTTGGACAGCCAACTTTTTTTCAAGGAGGATATTGCCTACAACAGACAGTCAAATCCCTCAGGTTCAACTTTTCAAATAAGACACTATAATTTTTTTTCCTAGTCCTATACCTTCTGCTATACTGCAAGCCAAACCTGTCCAAGCATTTTCTAGACTGTTTGGATTAAGTATCCCTCATCTTTCTGCTGGGAGCCCAAACTCTTCCTCAAATCAGCTATTTCCCACCATACCCCCATCAGATGTACCAATCTATGAAGTGTTCATAAACATTAGCAAGCTTAAAAACACTCAAAGCAGAAAGTTACTTTCAGTACACTCCCCTCCCACCACCACACACGCACACAGAGGAAAACACTGATGAATGAAGTAAACAAGTTAGTAGTCAGGAAGAGAATCTAAATATCCTAATCTCAATCCAGTACCGTACCAGTACAACATCTCCATTATGTTTACTATACGCGCTACAAAGTTAGGAGACAACACTTAAGAGATGAAAAATGAGTGGTCAACATTAGCAAAGGAATGCGTGCATCACACCCGGGTCTCACCACAGAAGTCATGTGAGCGCACACCTCTGCTGGTCACCTACAACCCCATCCTGGAATGGATCAGAGGAAGCATCAAACAGCTGCAGCTTATACGCAACAAGGATCAGACCACGGCAGAGAGATCCCTAGCCCCTCTGCTCCTGGCTTTCAAACAACCTTTTAACCTTGCCCAACTAATCATCATAAACTAGGGGCGCACCGATAAAGATTTTCTTGGCTAATATCGATAGCCAATTATTCACCAGGCATATCAGGTGATACTGATCTGATAACCAATTTACAGGAATTTAGTCAGGCAGTGTGGAGAGCTGCGCCCTGCAAGTAAGTCTGCGAAGGGGAATGGGGGAGGCAGATCAAGGCCCCACAGTGAGGGAGGGAGTGGGGCAGGGGCTGCTGCCCTGCCAGGGCAGTGAATGGGACTCAGGGCCAGGGAAGGGAGCGGGACGGAGCTGCGGGTGGCTTGTCTAGAGGATCAGCGTCTTGGCATTTAAAGCCTGTCAAATGAGCTTTAGTTTAACCATTCCTGCCACCATTTTTAAGCATAGGGATGCTTCTAACTCAGGGGTGGGCAATTATTCCAGGCGGAGGGACGCTCACCAAGTTGTGGCAAGCATGCGTAGCTCCGCCCCTTGACAGGTGCCCTGCCCCCCGGTCACCATCTTGGGACCAATGTCCCAGGGCAAGCACAGGGGCCCAGAGCAGGGCTGGTGGGGCCCAGAGCAGGGTGCAGGGTGGCAGGGGTCTGTGGACCTGGGCTGGGCTCACCAGCAGTGAGAGGGGGGAGCTGGCCTGGCTCCATAGAGCCCCTGCCAGCCAGGACCCTGTACCCCTGTCACCCTGCTCTGGGCCCTGCTGGCGCTGACCCTGGGACACTGGTGCGGGCCCGCTGACTCCCAGTACCCTCCCAGCCCCACAGTACAGGTGAGGGGCAGCGTACAGCCCCAACCCCGTGCTCCCCAGCAAGGAAGGAGCTGGTGTGGAGCGCAGGGAAAAGCGGCCCCTCACCTACGCTGTGCCCGGAGCTCCCTGCTGCAGCTGCTCACAGTCTGGGTTGT